ATCTAGGCCTAGCTAGGTAAGTAAATTAGGTAAAAGAGCAAAACATAGAACAAGTTCACTTTGTTGAAACTTTTATTTTTTTCAAAAGTGAAGTTCAACAGAGCATGGACATAGAGAAACCTTCCGAAAACTTAGTATTCGGAAAATTCGTAAAGCGACCTTATCGGTTTGAATATGCCGATGCCAAGTTTAGCTAACAGCCATGCACATATGAAGCAATTGAGACATGGTGCTTTTTATCGGCATTTGTAAGTGCTCGAGTATTTTCCAGTTTTATTCTGTTCCTCATTTGGGAAAAACCGAAGTACGTAGCCTTTAGGGAGTGTTGGCGAAGACTTATATGCCTTTCGAGAAAAAATAAATAAATAAATGATTCAAATATGACCGAAGCTAGTAATCGTTCGAAATTATACGTTGATAAAATTTTGCGAATGGAAATTAACCAAGAAAGTTATAAGAAATTCGTATATTTCACAAAAAGGAAATCAATGAAGAGTCTTTTTGTAGGATTCTAATTAAGTCGCACATTTTAGAATATTTCAACGGGCGTGACAAACCGAACAATGTGTCGGGTAAATGTTCCTGCTCTGCTGCAAGTTTTTAGTCCCCTAAAATCAAGAAACTACTGATATTTTTTATTTTTATTTTTTGTAAATAATTTTCTCAAAATTTCTAGTGATGCATATTGTTTTGTCAACTTTTGCTTTTTGAAACTTTTTTCTTCTTGGTTGTCAATGAGAACCCTTTAGCAAATGACTATTAGATGCTGTTTTTAGAGATTTTGCATTTTTTTTTTTTCAGCTATATAAAATAACCAGAGAGAGGCAAACAAGTTCCTTTCAACCTTGTCCTCTGCCCATCACCCAAATTAACTGCTGATAATTTATATTTGTCTCTTTTTTTCCCTTATAGGAACATAATTCTCTNCTTTTTTTTTTTTTTTTTATTTTTTTAAAATAACTATTTTCCCATTTATGTCTTGCAAATGTCACCTTTAGGACTCATTAGTAACTTAATTATCTTTGAGGCTTCTTAGCTACAGAGTACTTATATTATATATATATATGCAGCAGCTAATATTTGATCATCAGATTTCTTTTTCTTTTTCTTTGATAATATATAGGAAAAATCGAGTCGATTCTATGAGCCGTTGCCCGAGAATTGTCATAATCGTGTAAAAATGAAGTTTATGAAACTTGGGACTCGACTCGACACTTTCTACACAGAGGAAGCCATTAGGTGAGCCGAAAACTCGTGCAGTTTGCTGATTATTCTGTGCTTAAAATAGTTAAACGGCGTGCAGCTAATAAGCTCGTTTTTTTTTTCCGATGTTTTTAGGACGGTATTATCAGATGTGCCAAGCGATCTCACAATCCGGATAAACGGGACGACTTACCTTCTCCATCAGGTAATATTCACAACACAAGCAGAAGGTAACAAGCAAAAGTAATCTTTCAAACATTACAAATCACCCCACAATTTATCTCTCTTTCTATAAATCAACCCCAAGAGTCGGGCTTTCTTGTATTTTTAGCACACTATGGGGGCACTAATTGAAATTTCAAAGTCCTTCCATGCGTGCTTGCGTATTTCTAATAAAAACCAAAGTTTATCTTTCAAAATTATGAAACCACCCCACTATTTGTCTCGACCACCAATTTCACTCCCACGAGTCGGGCTTTTTTGTAATGTAGCAAAACTCGGGGGGACCTGTTTGCAATTTCAAGAAGAAGTAATAAGCAAAATTTTGTCTTTTAAATTACAAAAAACACCCCCACCATTTCTTCCCCCCTTCCACAGAATTTTCACCCCCAAGAGTCGGGCAAAAGATGGGGGAGCTATTTGCAAATTCGACATTCGTTCACGCGCATGCCCATTTTTTAACAAACGCAAGAACTAACTTCCAAAATCACAAATCCACCCCACAATTTCTCTCATCCACCAATTTCACCCCCACGACCCGTGCCTATTAGCAAACTCGGGGGGCCTATTAG